CCCTAAACCCTAAACCCTGGTCAGGATGCCTCCGACGAACGAATTTGGCCTTTGGTGAAGCCAGGCCAAGTCGTTTTGTGACCAGGGAGCCACGCGTGCCCTTGGGGGCAATACGGTGTCAGCGTTTGGGGTTGAAGGGCTCAGCTCAGGGGTTGGGATTTCCGCGGTTGGGATTAGGGTCTAGGGGTAAAGGGCTTATTTAGGGGATGAGGGGTCAGTACCGGTTTGTGAATAAGGCGTGGGTCTAGGGACTTGTGGTTAGGATTTAGGGCTTGAATGGGGCCCTTGAAGAAGCCTCAAAATATGTGGGGATTTCCACGCTGGGTGCAGGGGTCCCTCTTAAGGGTTGTATTTGGGAAAAATGCCATAAAAGCAAGACTTATCCCAGAGGGTCCAAGTACCTAATAATTGGGTACTTGGGTTTTGGGTAATAGTAAGTATAGTACAGGTTTTGGGTAAGTATATGATTATGAGGTACTTGGACCCTTAGGGTATGGGTCATGTCAGATTGCATTCTGCAACTACGGAATGCTGCACATCATGTTCCGGACATGGTATTGTGCAAGCGCGCCCCCATTTATCAATGTGAGGTTAACATGATCGAAGGTATGCCAACATGAACTCAACTCCCATAGGGTGGTGCAGGAATGCACAGGGAATGGCTCCGTGGTCCATGGTACCCAACCTGAACCCCAAAAGTATGTAGAATAATTGCTTTTTGGGCAATGTTTGTGGGTTTGGGCTATTATTTTACCTACTTTTCGGGTTCAGGATGAGATGAATGCAGCCGCTTTTCCTGCAGTCTCCTGGACCACCTCCCCTCCCCCCACAAGCTAACATGGAACCTCATAGACAGCCATAGAACCCCGTCTCATAAGCACAGTAGCCTTCATAGTCTAAGGTTTGAAACCATGGGCCCTGAATTCTGGGTTCCTTATACCTATACACCTACTATATACCCTATATGTGCCCTAAACCCCAAACCCTAAACCAGTTCCATGTTTGTTTGGGGGAGGGGATCCTGCAGCGGTGGGACAGGGGCTGTCATGACTCTGCAGCAGCTAAGCTGCTACAAGTTGCGGCTGGCTTTAGGATACAAGCAGGCAGGTTTTGCTAGGTATTGTTGAGAAGTGGGGCCTTCAGATTGAAATTCAGGAGTGTTGCAGCTGCTGTCTTTGAGTAAACCCTAAGCCCTAAAATGAGCCCTGACCCCAAGACAGCGTTGTCTGCCTGCAGCAGAACTTCTAGTCTTTTGTCATGGAATCTGCTGGGATGTGGACGTTGTTGTGCCGGCCCGACCATCTGTATCTCCCACATTCTAAGTGTGTTGTTGTTCAAGGTATTCTTTGGGCACAAACGTGACAGGTTTCCTGGTGTCGGCACACTTCCACAAGGCAGTCGCAAGAAGTTTGTGCAGACGTCTAGAGTGAGCAAGGAATAGCGCCCAGACCTTGCAACTGGCGTGCCGACCTGATGCGAAAACATAGACATAAATAGCCCAAACACCAGCGTACAGAGCCAAAATGATGGCTGAAGTCAGGGCACCGGAACAGGGATTAGAAAGGTTCAGGAGGTAGGCCCCTGGGGCGCTGAGTTTTTGGGGTAGGAGGAGATCTAGGTTTCAGGCGTTGACGGTCCATGGTATGGACTCTGCAGGAACACGGTTGGCTGGTTGCTCATTGTATTGATTGGGTATTAGCCTCCCCGGCGGGAGTGGGTGGGGCCAGTGAGCATGTATGTGGTCAAGGGCTCAGCAGGCCGTCTGCACATGTTGCGCATGATTGTTGTCTGGAACGTTTGAGTTTTTTGTGTACGTAGGATTGCGTGCTGGTGCTGAATACCTTCCGTTCTTAACTTCCTGCAGGTCCCATGCATCATTCCTAATCCCCAAGACACCCCCAACCCAAGCCCCTGCCTTATGTAGAATAAGCCCTGAACCTCAGACCGACCTGAACCCACATCCCTAAGGGCACACCTTGCACATGCCCTAAACCTAACAACCCTATCTAAATCCCAGACCCTAATAATCCCTGAACCCTAAAACAAACAGTGCCGACCTCCGCCGGCTCAAACTCGCATGCGCATGGCCCTCCAGCTTTTCTTCCACGCGTGACAAGGAGAGTGAGGTGGCGTCCTGCGCACGCCTGTGCGTCGAGCGCTTGCACCGGCCAGGCTGCGACGACGTCACCCACTGGGCAGGTGTACTGGGTTACAGGGTTACTAAGCTTTCTAATTTCGCCCCCTCGTCCTTTCAAGTTGTACTGCCTTGCTGATTCACGGATGGAAGCGGATTAATGGGGGGTTCTGATTACTAACACCCCTAAGAAATACGATTCTAAAAATTCCGGGTGGGGGCCCAATCCTATTTGTGTATGTAGGATTGAGTGCAGGTGCTGAATACCTTCCGTCCTTAACTCCCGGCAGGTCCCATGCATCATTCCTAGTCCCCAAGACACCCCCAACCCAAGCCCCAGCCTTATGTAGAATAAGCCTTGAACCCTCAGACCTGAACCCACATTCCTCATTTTACGCATGATTGTTGTCTTGACTGTTTGAGCTATTTGTGTACGTAGGACTGAGTGCTGGTGCTGAATACCTTCCGTCCTTAACTTCCTGCAGGTCCCATGCATCATTCCTAATCCCCAAGACACCCCCAACCCAAGCCCCAGCCTTATGTAGAATAAGCCCTGAACCTCAGACCGACCTGAACCCTTTCTTTCCGACGCTGCGAGCGTGATCTCTTCGCTTGAGCGATCCTAGTGGCAGACCTTTTGTCCCGCTACTCCGGTGGCAGCAAGTGCTTCGCACTCCCACGTGAGCCTACGCCATGGTCCACAGACCCCTGGCAAGACAGCACTGTCAGCTGGGATATAGCCGAACCACAACAGACAGTCAATCAGAAATCACGTACATAATAACATACACATTGCATTGCACAGTTTGGAGCTCAGAACCTCAAATAAGTCTAGGCGCAACTCCGTCGTCAGCTATGTACAGTTGCCGGTCACGTTTGAGCACAGCTTGGTAATGTCCCATGCTGGTCTGACGCCCGTAGTGCACACATGCCGCCCACAGTCGGTAGCTCACGAGATTAGTGCTAATTCCCTCATCCCCGAGCACAGGTACTGACAGCGGGTCACTCAACTCAACGGGATATTCGAGTTTTGTGGCATCCTCTGAGTACCTGGCCAGTTGAAGCACGAGGGTATGTGACGCATAATCAAGGGCGTGCAGCATGGGTTGCATATGCCAGTGACTGATGGCTTCCTGCACATCTCTGGGACGCTGATCCATGGCAAGTCTGAGTAAATGTGCCCGCGCACCGTCCCCCCGGTGAGGATGCCCATTGTTGAGAAGCCTGGCGCTCCACACGCACTCAGTGATCGAGCAGGCGGTGTGTTGACAGACATACTCGAAAAACTCAGCCGCGTCATGTTGCCTGGTCGGTTGTCGCTAGCCTGCCAGCAGTTTACGCCACGGCAGAGTCTGGAGCACATGAAGCGGCTTCCGGGCCTGAAAGAGAACTTTGGCACATGCCGCCCCTAGCTGATTCACCTGTGCCATGGGTCTGCTGTGTGTGAGCAAGAGCCAGCTCCAAGCAGTCACAGCTGAGTTCAAGTAGCATTGGTTATAGCCGCATTGGCCAGTCTCAGCCTCATGACGACTTGAACAGCTTGTTCTGAAGGAGCTTCGCTGGAGGGGATCGGGTCATGGTGTCCGGTCGCATGCTGAAGCCTGCCACTTGCGTGGCCGCGCACGTACTGAGCTCCTGGAAGGCCTGATACACCTGAAACGATTTTGGATCCCTGAGCCCGATTTCCAGCTGAAATACCATGATTTCCTTGTGAGCGTGGAAGGCTGTGATCACGGGAGGTCTCAGCACTTCGACCAAGAGCATATCCAGAAGTTCCTGCAGGCGATGGGCTGACATCGGCAGCGTGTCCTTTGTCATATGCTTGCGCGATTCCATGTTCCACTGCAGGTACTGCCATGAAGTGCCGTCCTGTGTCCAGCCTAGCTCCTTGGCCTTCTGAACCTGACTTGGATCTCCCCTCAGCGTGGCACGCCGTCCTTGCGGGTCCTTGATTAGGCATGAGAGGAGGACGCGTCTGAGGGGAAGACGACTCTTCTGGGGCGCCGCCTCCTGTTCTTGCTGCCATTTGGTCGTGACATTCTGCAGGGTGGCCACCACTCCCTGAGGCTCGGTGCGGCAGAAGAGTATGAACTTCGTGAGGCTCTCGTCTGCGTCTGGCACGGGTTTTGCTGGCTTTCTGGGAGGTTGCCTTTGCGGCGGGCCGCGTTTGGGAAAGCCCTTCCCCTTGCCTCCCAGTGAGTCTTTTGGTGCTTTGTTCGGTCTTTCCTCCAGCGCGTTCTCGCGCCCCTCCTCCGTCTCGCCCTCTGGCTCTTGTGACCTGTTGGCCACTTCCCAAAACTGCTTGACCTCCTCCAGAGGTTCCATCATCGGGGCGTCGATCGTCATCTGCCTGCAGAATCAAACGCTCGAGAAGGACTGAGCAAAAGAGCGCATTGCATGATGCGGCGTGCCGACCAGGTGCTTGGTAGTTGCCGAGGCACCACTCGCACGGACGCTGACTACACCCGATTTGCTGAGCCCGTTGCTGGGTCGCCTCCAGAACAGCAAATAAATCATGATGCTTGTCATACATGCAGATGGCGCTTAGTGTATGTCGACTTCATAAGATACTTGTTGCAAAGTGGGCAGTGGTGCGCAATTTTCTCCACGAAGTGTGGGTCTCGGCATAGTCGTCTCCAACCGCCTGCCGTCAGTGTGCTTTTTACATGAGGCTCGGCAATTAAGGGTACGTTACGGGGAGGGTCCGGCGGGATACTAAGCTGCCCAGGGCCGTGCTTATCCCTGTGCTGCTGTCAGGGTTTGCGTATTGCAAAGGCCACATGTTGACCGAAGTTCCACCAATCCTTGAGCTTGGTGTTGCATAATGCACATTCGGGCATTCCATCCGCCGCGAAAATCCAGTGCTCTTGCACCCCATGCTCAGCTGCATCCTGTCGAACAGTTTGTTTGTGCTTGCGTGCCTGATGCAGACGCATGGAGGCTTCCGTGGCAAAAGACTGTCCACACTCGGGGCAGCTGACACCTTGGCTAACAAGTGTGTCCACAGGAATAAGTCTAGGGCGGGTGCGGGTGAGGTGCAGGTCCTCTAGGGTGGCAAATTGTGCGGCGATGTACGTATGGCATTGTGGCACCCGTGCAGGCTGGACATGATGAAGCTGCCGCTGCTCCACTCTGCGCTCGGCCTCCTGCCTCAAGGCTGTGACTGGAAGAGTTAACCCAAGACGCGTGAAGAAATCCTCATTAGATTTATGAGTGAACTGAGAATGGCTGCCAGCGATCGTGCGCAGCTGTTTGGCTACGTAGCCTGTGAGCTCCTCAGCAACCTCCTTGCTAATCCCCACAGTGGAGAGGCCGTGTTTGAGGACTGACCAGACGCACGCATACCACAGTCGAAGGCGTGTGCGCACACTGAGACTGCGTTTAGCCTTGAGCACGTGTATTAATCTACAGTATGCTTTGGTGGCCTTCTGTCTCCGGTGTGTGTAGGTCGCTCTCTCAAAGCCCCTATAGCTACTCTTGACACCCAAGTACTCATGATCAAGCCTATGCGGCAGCCTCCAGCCGCCCACACGAACAAAGTGATCGGTCTTGGATTCGTCAAGGTATTGGGCCCGTGCTTTCTCGGCCTCCATGCCCCGCGCCTCGAAGAGAGCAACTGTTTTTGTGAGGCTCACGCCCAGGTGGTACTCAGCAAGGGTGTTGAGCAAGCGCTCCCCTTGTTGCATGGCAAGGTTGAGGGAGGCTGGGCTGTCGAAGACCATCGTGCTGATGAAATCGTCAGCATAGACACTCAAGGTGTCCTCCACCCATTGCTGGCCGTTACATACCTGCAGGCGGCGGATGATACTTCCGGTCGCGATGGCCCATAGCATCGGCGCTAAGGGGCATCCCTGCCGTATGCCCCTGCGCGCAAGTGTCTCGATCCCGTGCTCATCGAGACAGAACTTGATTTGCCTATGAAAAGCAACAGTGAATCGGGCCAGATCGCTAGGAACAGAAGCCTCCAGCAGGGATGCGAAGAGTACATCGTGCGGCAGAGTGTCAAACGCCCGGGACAAGTCAAAGCTGAGGGTTAGCCCACCTGTGAGCGCAACCTGCGCATGTCCTTCCCGCTTTTTATGGATGTTGGTGATTTGCCCTTGAATGTTTTGACGGACGGACCAGAAGTGACTGAGCACTTTACCCAAAGCATCACTGACCCCCCTGTGCTGGACATAAGCAAACTGCGGAAGAGATGCTAGGAAAGGTTGGGCGTAGACGATCAGGCGTTTGGCCAAAATTCTGCCCAGGGCTTTGGATGCAGGGTTCAGGAGCGAAACGGGTCTCAGCGCATCTGGAGAGCGCGGTGGTTTGTTCGGTTTCGGAAGCATGCAGAGGAAGGCCTGACACCAGCTCAGAGGGAAAGTTACGCGCCCTGCGGGGAAGTATGCAAGACGGCCCATGCACTCCCCAAGTTGGTCGGCCAGCTCCTTCCAGAGAATCGCAGGCATGCGTCGGGGGGCGACAGCTTTGCCAACTGCAATGCTATGCAATGCTTCACTCCATTCTGCAGCGGTGATGTGCAATGGCTCCTGTAGGCTCAAATCTGGCACGTTCATCATTGCGAAATTGCGTTCGTTGTCTTCTGGTTTTAGGGGCCAGGCGCTTGGTGGCACGGAAGACAAGTGTGAGATTGCCGTTCACCTGTATTGGCTGTCTAAGTTGCGCTCTCAACCTCCACACTCGGTGCACTTCCAAAACCGTAGCCGCAGAATCAGGCACCTCAGTCCTTTCTACAGGGAGCGACGTGGCAGCTAACGTCCAGACCTTGTGCACCACATCATTGAGTGCCTCGAGGCTACATTCGTCCTTGGTCAGCTGGCAAAACTGCTGTTGAAAGTCACTCCTGACATGTGGATTCTGCTGTGTCACGCGCTGCGCCTGAGACAAGGTGGGAATCTGGTCCTTAGCTCTAACTGTGCCCCGGGGTGGCGTGGCTGCAGCAAACGTGCCACTCAATGGAAAGTGTACGGTGCTCAACTTGTCCAGAAGCTTGCAAGAGACTAGAGGGGGGGAACCCCCCTGCCTACTCTGTTCCCATATGGGGGAAGAGACGTGTTGAAGTTGCCAAGTATCAGCATGGTGTTTCTCAACGGAACGGGGTGTTCCGAATGGCATTCCGGAGGGTGTTCCAATGCTCCTCACGCCTTGCGAGCAGCTTGGTGCGATGCTCCCTTTGTCGGAGCTCCTCCTGCCTGAAGTGCCACGCGTGCTGGTAGGCACAAATGATTTCAATGGACGGTTCCTGCGCAAGCCTAATCCTAAGAAGCCTTCCCGGTGCAAGGATGTCATACTGGATAGCATTGCTCTTAAAGAGGCAGCCTGGCACACTTACTAAAATGCCAGCAGACTTGGACCCAGCACCCGTGTGAATGAAGGATAAACCTCCTTTGCGGCTCGGCTCATGCCATTCCATGTCACTGGCCCAGCGGGTTTCGGTAATGACATAAATGGTTGCGGGATCCCCCTCAGAACATTCCACATGAAGTACTTCAGGCTGTGAGCGGCCGGTTGGGCAATGCAGGATTCCCGAGATTGGGGCTGGATGAGGGTGCTCCCTGCCTCGGTACCACGTGTATCCCTGATGCATGGCACGCTGCCGTGCCCGGCGATAGGCTCGTTTTCTGGCCACTCCGAGTGAACCACATGACTGAGGATATTCACCCGGCTTCGCCCCAGTGACATGTGGCAAAGATTGTGCATTTGGGGCTCCCGTCGACCATGGGGGGTCGACAACCCTCACCTCTGCAAAGGCGGCCTTGGCATGTGTGACGCAGGAAGCAATCATTGCTAAATGTAACAATCGGAATGAGCGGGTTCGTGACCTTGGCTTACCTGCTGCGAGTTGCCTGGAGCCTTTGCCTCCGGACTTAAGACCGGAGGACCCATACTCAAATGTATGGTGGTAGCGAAGGAGGAAAGCGGAGATACTTTGATGAATGAGGCATCCGAGGATACATAACCACAACCATGTACATGAATTGCTCTGACTGATGCTACGCTTCCCTTTAGGCTGGCAATGGCTCCACCTATGCCTGAGGAATCTGCGCGTCTTCATCAGAGTCGGCCTCAGTGCGGCGAACAAACCAGGCTGCAACACTCTGTCTTCCTTGGATGCTGAGAATCGAGAAGCCGAGCACCATTGCATGCCTGTACGCCAAGTGTCGGAAGCAGTTGTACAAAAGTTGGCCGTAGCAATTGGACAGCCATCTAGGCTGTCAGTTACCAACAGATTCCCGTCTAAATGCATGAAAGAACTGCCCCGCCATCGACCGATGATCCGGCCATTTGTCCCGGCCTCCATTGTGGACAAAATCCAGAAGGGCCTCATCGAGTGCTGGTTGGCTGCACAAGTATGTCGTGTGATCCTGAAGCTGGAGAATCCTCGTGACTGCATCCGGGAAGTTCTCGTTCCTAAGCCTGTGGATGACACCTGTGGCAGCTGCACTCCCTGTTGAGTATCCCCTGCGGGTCCATGCCACACGTGCTGAAATGGAACGGTTGGTATGTCCTGCTCTCTCCAGTGTGCGGCACATGACATCAATGACGGCTTGAAGCAGAATTCTGTCCAGTACTGAATGCACCCAGTTGCGATATTCGTTCGGCGTCTGTATCGACAGGTCATTGAAGTCGTTGCCGGTATCACTGACCTCAGAGGCAGAATCAACAGGAGGGTTGGGAGCAGCATGGGCCATGGCATTCGCCCCCCCTCCCCACCAACTCACCTACAATTAGCTTGGGCCCCTGAACCCACATTTCTAAGGGCACACCTTGCACACGCCCTAAACCCAACAACCCTATCTAAATCCTAGACCCTAATATTCCCTGAGCCCTAAAACAAACTGTGCCGACCTCCGCCGGCTCAAACTAGCATGCGCATGACCCTCCAGCTTTTCTTCCACGCGTGACAAGGAGAGTGAGGTGGCGTCCTGCGCGCGCCTGTGCGTCGAGCGCTTGCACCGGCCAGGCTGCGACGACGTCACCCACTGGGCAGGGGTACTGGGTTACAGGGTTACTAAGCTTTCTAATTTCGCTCCTCGTCCTTTCAAGTTGTACCGCTTTGCTGATTCACGGATGGAAGCGGATTAATGGGGGGTTCTGATTACTAACACCCCTAAGAAATACGATTCTAAAAATTCCGGTGGGGGGCCCAATCAAATTTCCGAAAAATTGTCTGGGTGGTCCCAGCCCTAAACCCTGAACTTCAAACCTTAAACTTTGAACCTAGATCCCGAAACCCTGAACCCCGAACCCTTACCCCTAAACCTTAACCCTGTAATTACACCTTAAACCCTATGCCCTAAAGCCTAGACCTCTTTGGGCGTTCCCAGAACCGAGCATGGAATTGATCCGCTTCTGTATTGTTATTAATCCGTTCAGACCAAATTTTGACCTGAGTGCTTTTGCCCTTCATTTTTTCCGTTTCATGCCAGCAGCGTGTATTTTTCTATCCCGAAACTGCACGGTGAAGGTTTGACGGTTTGGGGTGTAGGGTTTAGGGTTCCCGAAGCTAGCTGTCACATCACAAAACACGAGACACAGCTGGTTGAGGGCTGACCACATCCGGTCTGTAGTGCAGGGTATGTGCAAATCGTTTAGGCAGACTTCACGTATACCTAAAGTGGACTCCCCACCCAGGTGATTGATTATCTTAAGGTCTTCTTATGTTCATATTACACCACCCCAAACCCTCAGGTAACCCATAACAAAAGGGCACTTTTACAGCATGGTGGGTCTATGTAAGGTATGCCCCTGTAAGTCCGCGTATTGTGGCGCCACGGCTCTTGCTGGGTTTATCGTCCCCCTAAGTAGATAGAATATGGGGTATATGGGTATCTTCTTATAATACACCCGAAGCCATATTTCATCTACTTAAGGGGGACCATAACTCATGGCAGCATACTGTTCATACTTAAAGCTCTTGCATTGCTTGCATGCACAAGGACGCCGACCCAAGTGAAGGGTACCAAGGGTCATGCAGGATTCTTATCATCAACTGTAGGAACAAACGGAGATTTTCGCGCGCATGGAAGAACTTTCAATACACAACGAAACCCTAGACCCTACTCGGGGGGCCAGTGGATTCCTCGCGGGATTTCTGCAGGGCTTCTTGCCCCCATCCGAAGGCCACTTGCAGCCACTACTTGAGTTATTACTCTTGTTTTGTAACGTTGAAATGCACCTATACCTGCCCCTAAAGCTTGTGAATTTGTTCCGTGTTGTTTTCGATCTTCTTTACCATGTGTTGCTCCATTCACTTGTGTTTCATGATATGCCTATTCCTTCCAAACATGATACTGCTCCTTCCCAAAACCAACATGGAACCTGAAAAGGGAAGACCTGACAACTATTCTTCAAAAGGGACTATGTGGGCCTCCATGTGAGAGGGTCTACATCTCTATATCTTCTGCATATCATATGAGGCATTATGATCTTTGTATACCCCTATGTAATCCCTACACAAACCCAGTATGCCCTGAAATCATGCTGATCGAATTCCCACGTATCCCTATATACCTCTACGTAATCCCCATGTGGGGGCTGTTCTAAAGTTCCCTTGGAGAAAAAGAGGGATCCTAAAGGTCCATAACGTGAATAACGGGAAATTATGTTCCACAATGGCCTTTTGGGAGCAGGAATTTTGATCCACTGATCCTAAATCCTAAGCTTTAAGCTTCAAACCCTCAATTCTGAAGCCTTAAGCCCTAAACCCTATAAGCCCTAAACCCTGTAAGCCCCAAACCCTAAACCCTATAAGCCCCGTAAGCCCTAAGCCCTAAACCCTATAAGCCCTGTAAGCCCTAAACCCTCAACTCTACACTCTACACGTCGCTTTGAGCATGACTTCCCGCAGCTGTACGGCCCCATACCGGCCAAGGAGCCTCGTATAGTTCCCCTTAAATAGAATATGGGAGTTATATAGGGAAAATGGAAAAGAACATGGAAATTACTATATAGGGTTTAGGGTTTAGGGTATAGTCCCCCTTAAGTAGAAAGAATATGGCTTTGGGTACATTCTAGTAAGATCCTCACAAACCCCATATTCTATCTACTTAAGGGGGGCTATAGATTCACGAGAGCTCCATAGGATTTAGCGTTTAGGGTTTTGAGGTTTTGGGTTTAGGATTCAAGGTTTAGGGTTTATGAGGTTTAGGGTTTAGACTTTAGGGCTTAGAGTTTAAGGTTCAAGGCTTAGAGCTTCAGGTATAGGATTTGAGCAGCCCAAGAATCCTCAATAGAGGGATTTCCTGAAGTACTAACTACCTATTAGGAGTGCTAGTATCAATTCAGGTATATCCCAAATGAAGGTATATTGAGCTCCCTAGGTTTCGCTTAAGGCGTGTTCAGGCTTCCAAATTAGCTTGCCCGGCAAGCTCTGAAAGCCGCTTCTAACCTCCTCCGCAAGCTCCCATTGCAATCAGGGCCGTGTGACCCACTCGCGCAATCGATGAATATTTTATTAACCCAGAAGCTCAGAATTGCACTGCAGACTTGATTATTGTAGACCACATTCTGATGAAGTAGCTTCAGA